GCACCTTGTTGTCATGGATAGGCTAGGGTTGTATCCACTGGTGTTGGAAGAGTTAGAAGTGACTTGATTGAAACAGAGAAAAGGATCTTGGTAGATATGGTGGTCTAAAGAAGATTCTTTATATTTGGAATGTTAATTCTGTTTATCTCTCCACAGATGCTGTGGAGAGGCACATTTTACTTTTACTTTAATATTTTAGTCTGGTTTTCTAATACCTAAGTGACCTGCTATTGGAATTTCATGAGCCGCCTGTAAAATTTTATGATGACACTCAGGTAATACTACCATCTGATGGACTATTGTGTATTCCTCTGACTGGTGTTTGAAGTGGTCTCCATTTCCTCATTAGTATATTGTTTTTTAAATAATAATACTCAGATATTGGTTATGATTCAATTTCCGTTCAGTGTAATTCTTTCAATGCCAAATCTTACTGTTGCATTTCAATTAAAGAAAGTGGCCTAAACATATAGCCTTATTCTTTCTGCCCTTGTCCTTTCTAGTTAAATTGTCAAAAATTGTATTTGATAATTAGAGTCAAACATCACAAAACAGACCATTCAATCCAACTTATCCAAGCCAACCAGATATCCTAAATTAATCTAGTTCCATTTGCTAGCATTTGGCCCATATTCCTCCAAACCCTTCCTATTCACATACCCATCCAAATGCCTTTTAAATATTGTAATTGTAACAGCCTCCACCACTTCCTCTGGCAGTTCATTCCATACACGCACCATCCTCTGCATGCCCCTTAGGTCTCTTTTAAACCTTTCCCTTCTCACCTTAAACTTATACCCTCTAGTTTTGGACTCCCCTGCCCTGGGGAAAAGACCTTGACTATTCACCCTATTAATGCCCCTCATGATTTAATAAATGTCTGGAAGATCACCCCTCCGATGCTCCAGGAAGAATAGCCCCAGCCTATTCAGCCTCTTGTCATAGCTCAAACCTTCCAACCCTGGCAGCATTCTTGTAAATCTTTTCTCAACCCCTTCAAATTTAACAGCACCCTTCTTATAGCAAGGAGGCCAGAATTGAATGCAGTATTCCAAAAGTGGCCTAACCAATGTCCTCTACAGCTGGAACATGACCTCCCAACTCCTCTACTTAATTCACTGACCAATAAAAGCAAGCATACCAAATGTCTTCTTCACTACCTTGTCTACCTGCAACTCTACTTTCAAGTAACTATGAATCTGCACTCCAAGGTCCCTTTGTTCGGCAACACTCCCTAGGACTTTACCACTAAGTGTATAAGTCCTGCCCTAATTTATCCTACCAAAATGTAGTACCCCACATTTATCTAGATCATAGAATAGAACCCCTACAGTGTGGAAACAAGCCCTTCGGCCCAACAAGTCCACCTCAGAGCATCCCATGCAGACCCATCCCCCTGTAACCCACCTAATCTACACATCCCTGAACACTATGGATAATTTAGCATATCCAATCCACCTAACCTGCACATCTTTGGACTGTAGGAGGAAATCAGAGCACCCAGAGGAAACCCACACAGACATGGGGAGAATGTGCAAACTCCCCACAGACATTTGCTCAAGGGTGGAATTGAACCTGGGTTGCTGACGCTGTGAGGCAGCGGTGCTAACCACTGAGCCACCGTGCCACCTTCAATCTAGATTAAACTCCATCTGCCACTCCTAGGCCCATCAGCAAGATCCCATTGTACTCTGAGGTAACTTTCTTCACTGTCCACTACACCACCAACTTTGGTGTCATCTACAAATTAACTAACCATATCTCCTATATTCACATTCATATCATTTATATAGATGACAAAAAGCAGTGGACCTAGCATTGATCCCTGCAGCACATT